GGCTTTCAAAGCCGGTTGCTCCGAGAGAAGGAGGAATCGCGCGGGGTGCGCGCGAGGGGGTGAGGGGGAAGAGAGGGGGGAAGAGGGAAGCGAAAGAGACACGGAAAGAAGGACAGAAGGCACGCGCGAGGGAGAGAGGAAGAGGCGCGGAGGAAGGAGAAAACGGATTCACCCGTCAGTCACTCTCTGGCAGACCGCGAGAGAATCACAATGCGAGGCCTCCCTCTTCTCGCCGTCCCTCTTCGTCCTTCTGTCCGCCCGTCCGTTCGTCCGTCTGTCTGCCTGTCCATCCGTTCGTCTCTTCGTCTGCCTCCTGTCACTCTCCCCGCCAGCCTTCCGACGGTTCTCGCATCAGAAATTCATCTCCTCTCCTGTCCTCCTCCGGGTTCTCCTTTTGTTCCTTCCCTGCCGCCGCAGCCGCCGGCTTGTTATTATGTACTGTTTTATTGCCAGGACGTTGCTAAAGTTCGACCCGGTTACTTGCCCCGGCGTGGCGTCATTGCTGCCGAGAGAAAGAGAGAAAGAGAGAGGCAGAAAAGATCCGCGCCTCCCCGGGATATTCGCCGAGATAACCGTGCGCGAGTAGTACTACTTATCAAAGATCCGTCTCGGAAGGCGTCCCGGCAACTTTGCTCGGCCGTCCCGACGTGGAAGAGACGAGAAATTAACTTCGTGCACCGTGAAGCCGATGCAGCTCTCGCGAAGATCTTTTCTGATGTACGCAGCTCTACATTCTAACACGGTGGTTATGTAATTACCGGTATCCACCGACGGCCTGTCTGACAATGAGAAACAGAGTAAAGGCCGGCGGATGTTCGTGCACGTAGTAGCTCCCACACAGTTGATTGTGAATGTCTAGTACATACATTGAATCGATAGATATAAAGTAATTTCTGAAGGGAGAATTTTTTTTATGCGTGATACATCACACTTTGTCCAGATTCCAGAGGGATTGATATAGTTTGATGTTCTACTGAAATAATGTGTTTAGATTATCCTCAAAACTTGAGCTTTTAATGGCTTTTTAAAATATGATATATTGTACAACTGCTATTTATAGTTTTTAATATTGCTTCTTTTCTAATTGTGACTTTAATCGTGCCGAGTTGTGTCGTTACATCATATTTACAGAAAGAATTCGGTATCTTATGCTTAAAAGCTGCCGCTCTGCATATCAGATTTCCTACAAACAATTAAACAGACACCTCGCGTTATAAATTTTCTTACCGGATGAACGTTCGGCGTAGATGCTAATTACAAGCAAACCTAACTGATTTAGCGCGTTGATTGCGCGTAAATCACTAGAGTACACAAGCTGACACTAGTGTGGATGCCTATGAACGCTAAAATTTACGCTTTACTTACGGCCGCAATTTATGAACATGCACTCTAAAGGATCCTTGTCTTAACATCTTATTTTTCGTTCTGCCATTTGTAAGGCTTACCGCGTTTCATCTCGACGACTCGTTCCGCCTTCGTACGTCTAAGAGTGACAAATCGTTTTCCGGAAGAATGGCCTCAAAAGAATACATTCAAAAATTGACGGAAAATAATCAGTTCTATTCTGAATTTTTAAAGATGTATTATTATATTACATCACGTTACGAAAGATTATGTAAGAAATAAATATCACAGATTTAATTTAATCTGTGATAAGTTAAGGAAATTCTCTATTTGCTAAACTTTCTGTATATTTGATACTGATTGCTAAATAAATTAAATTAAGGTTTTTTTAAATAAAATTAAGGAAATATGAATAATTGCAAGCATTATTTTAAATCTCGCCGGCCTTGAAATTCTTTATATATTGTAATTCTTTTTATAATTTGCGATAATGGAATTTATTTGTATGCATTCAATCAAAAGTGACTAATATTCCTATTAACCCGCGACGTTAACGCAATTATCTAAGGCCAAGTTTTATACTACGTAGTTTTTTTCACAATATATACGCTCTCACAGCTTCGCATACAGAAGTTCGGAATTTATCAGCAATTAGCAACTGCCGATCGTCCTCGCGAATAGCGAGCGTGACTAGCTCAGTTGTTCGACTTACGACTAGCTTACAGGATAGCTAATACCGTCGTGGTACCAATACCAGTTAGCCCTTGGTACATCACCTACATGTGTACGCCAATATATGCAGGTGTCTGCTATCTATATCCGTAACTCGTGCGCAAGTTCGTCGTGGAAGGCAGGCGAGGAGAGGCACGACAAAAGGGCGAAAGGGGGAAACAGGGAATGCGCAGAGACACACATTTATAAAGAAAGAAAAGAAGAAAGAGAGAGGGAATGCACAGAAAAATCAAGTAGAGATCGTAACGGGCTTGAAAGCGGATGCTTCGCCGATAAGACTAATTATTGTTCTGGACCAAGAGTCGTAGGCGGGCTATTGGCGCAGAACCATCGCCATCGTAGATAGCGCGACCCGCTCTCCGCATAGCACAGGCCCGCTAATACGCTGCGCTTCTTTTCTAACGTGCAGCGGGTTCGGGTGAGCCAAGGACAGGAGGAGCCGGATATCGGCCAGTAGCATCTCGCCGAGTGTCAAGACTCGGCCGCTTTTAAGCTCGGTACGCCACGCTCCTCGTTCCCGAGGCGTATCTTACCGGCGGGCTACGTCCGGGATGTGCAACCCGGTGCGGTCCTTGTTAGTGGTCTGCCAATAGCCCCGCACGAACTCCGCTCGTGCGAGCATTTGCATCCTACTGAGCCCGACGTCGACATCCGATCGATCCTGATCGCCGGTGAAATACTTTCGAGTCGCGGAACTCTCGGTGACCCTTGTCATTACGATTGGGTCGGTGCTCTAATAAACTAAAGTCTCCGTGGCTTCAGAATATAATACAATAAAAAAGTCATCGGAATATATACTTTATTTCTTTCAAAAAAAATTAAATATGGCTCGTCACTATGGATCGATTGTACAATAAGTAGAGAATCTTGCCTTTCTGATGAACGCTTGTGAACAATTATTTTTTTCATGTAATATTCGCACACGTGTACGTATAAAAACCGTATCAAGATGTTAGTTGCTGCTTCCAGAAATGGAGTAACGGAGTAACGCTCGTTGAAATCTCTGGCTGGAGACGAAGGTGGCGCAGTGCTAACGGTTACGTTATTGAAATTTCAAAACAGTATCACTTCGAATTCAGCTATCACGGGCAAGAGACAAGCGGGTGGTTAGGGAGGGATAGAAAATGAGCGGCAGGCAAATACTAGATTCCACGGATTCGCGATCAAGCGCCCGTAGGGGACTCCGAAAGGGTAGAAGACGGACCGCGCTCTCGTAGCGGGCGGGGCTGCCCGCCGGTGGTCCGCCCGCTCGGTTCCTCGACTTCTTGCATTCCCCTCTTCGATACGCGTCCGGATCCAAGCGATCCTCCGAGAGGTCCTCCTTTTATCTCCTCTCGTCGTCGCCCCGTCGTTCTCTCCGTGGTCGTGCACCTTCTCGCCGTCCTATGACTGGGTTCCAACCGGATCGGCGCGGCCAGTCGCTTCCATCGAATGGTCCGCGCCGGGGCACCGGGAGAATCGCTCCCGGTAGAGAGACAATGGACAATGGGGACATAAATCTGCGTAATTAGTTGCTGATGCACCCGCGGATCAATGTGCGATCTCCTTTCTCTCCCTCTTCCGTGGCCTGTCCGCGGACAAACGATCGTTTGGTTGGTCACTCGGCAAAGTAGGACGGTGCTCCTGGTTGTCCCCACCCTCTACGAGGGGAGGTGTGCTGACCACCTTCCGCTCTCGCCCTGCTCTCGCGGCTTGGCTTGGCGATTGCTCGCGACCGAGGACACGAGGCACTCCCTTCTTCAGAAAGGATGTGCCGGGAGCAAGATGGCGACTAGAAGTTGGACCCCACGTTGGACCCGAGTATTCACGTCCGGGTCTGTCAAGTATAGCTTACTTTCGTTGGTTATCAGATGACTGTACGATAATAATTTAATGAAACGTTCTAGTGAATGCGTAGTCAATATTTAAATCGTGGTGTAACACGCCGTTTATTAGATACGATATGATGTAGAATTTCCGAGCAAAATTTACGCAATGTATTTCCCCCGCAAATATTTGTTGATCTTAGATTAGGTCATGTTCTCTCCGCACAGTCGCAAAGCGACAGTTCTGCCGTTCATTACCAAGGGTTCAAATGGAAACGATTTGATTAAAACTCATAATGCAGATGATGGAACTCCTTGTCCCGCCACACAATACCTCGTCGTCGTCGACGTCGACGTATCCGACATAGCTCGCATTTTCTCTTTCTTCCTCTCCCTCTTGGGCGTCGTATTCGCCGTCGTCGCCATCGTCGTCGTCGTCGTCGTCGTCGTCGTCGTCGTCGTCGTCGTCGCTGTCGTCGCGAAAGGCTGATAAATGAACCGATAGTGCCATTGTGTTACTCGCCATCTAAACCTTTATATCACTCCTAGGTACTTAGCTTCGTCATTTCTCAGTATCTCCACTCCTAGGTCGTACGTTCTTCTCCGCTCTTCTATCAAGATACGGCGGGTGACAGGAGGATTTGATTCGCGTCCTACATCAACGATCTCCGCGCAGAAAAGACGATACACGATGTCGTCAACCGATACGTATTCGCGCTCGATTTTTTTTATTTCTAAATTACTTGGTAGTACATAAGTATATCCTGCAATACAAGTTTGCTCGCTTGTCACGCAAGATTATACTGACAGGAAACATTTTCCTCTCCGTAACGATACACTCATATATCGTATTTTTCACGTCCAACGTCTTATCTGCAAGTGTAATAGAAAATTCGCCGATGGGTCAATGAGATATCTAGATTGGCAATGCGACTTAACTACTTCTGCGTTCCGTTATAGAAGTGGCACCGATAAACTATTCGTTGTACAAGCATTTAATAGAAATGTAGCAACACGCTGTTATTTCATGAAATGTGGCATGTTAATGGAGTAGTTCTTTTTTTTTTCAATTACGATTGATCTAATAATCTAATTCGCTGCTTCGTTGATTTGTTTCAGGGGAGGACGGCGTCGAAGGCTCTGCGCCCGGTACGGACCTCCAAGGCGAGGAGGGCGATTGCGTCGACGAGGATGGTCCCATTAGCCCCAGCGAAAGGGGCTGCGCGCCCGCTGCGAAGGAGGACGAGGATGCCGAGGGAACGGACGAAGAGGACGATGAGGAGGCATCGCCACCTACGCCCCCGCCTTCCGCCACCTCGAGGTTAAACCCGACTATCCTGCGAGACACGGGACCTCCGGATAGGTAAATCTTGCATTTGTATAATTTTCTATCCGTGTACAATTGATGTTCTGTGCATATAACTGCTCTATCTTGATGATTGCTGAGAAACACGATCACAAAAAAGGGCGTATCAGAAAAGAAATAGGTGCTCATTTATTTTTAGACCAAGTATTCGGTAAAAAAAAATTATTGAAACTTGAAAGACTTGATTATGCCAAGAAGCTAAAAGATATTCTATCGATATACAGTAATGACCAGAAACATCACTCGTGCAATCTCAAACGTGTTGTCAAACGAGTAGTGACAACTGTTATTCGCACTGTCTCAGTAGCATTTATACTCGTATCAATTTTCTTTGGTTTTCCTTATTACATTTGTCAGTCGAATGTGTCTCTGCCTATATATGCGTGCTATACTCGATGCCTATATATACATGTTTCTGTCCGCGTGCCCGACACGTGGGTGTTACGTCCGCGAAGATAGGGACACTCGACGTTAACCGTGCGAGGTAGCGGTCCGTGCAAGCCAGCCGCGGATAACCACGTGCGAGCGATGCCTCCGCGCAAATCACTTACGGCGGTCGTAGAAGCGACGCGTAATGTCGGGCATAAAGTCGGAGGCTCGTACCTAAATTTCGCTCGACGTTGTCTCCCGGCGACTCATTAGTCGGTGCTTTATCCGGACGCGGAGACTCCTTCTAATAAAGCATCTAAATCATCGCGAGCCGCGCCGACGCGACACCGCGAGCTTTTTGATGTTCGCCGTCGTCGGGCGCCCCTCGCGTATGTACACGCGGCGTCTTTGTTTAAGAGCAACAAATCGTCACGAGGCCTCACTCGTAAATATGTGTATGCGCGAGGTAAGCGTCGGGCGGCGAGGGTTAAGTGGTAACGGAACGAGCGGCCGGGCGGACGGACGGGCGAGGCTCCGGGATAGGGATAAATAAGCCGGTGTTGGAGTTGATATCGGTGTCTGCCGCGCGCGACGTCACACGGCTAATAGAGATAGGCACGTGTTACACATCGTCCCACACCAACGATGCCCCACTAGCAGGCGCGCTGCCTCCTAACCGGGGGCGGCGGTGGCGGTGGCGCCCCCGCCCCCCCGCGTACACCCGCGCCGTCCCGCCAGCCCCCAAAAACTTCCCCTGCATGCGTGGCAGCGGTCCCCTTTCATCTCGCGGCACGCATTCGGCATTCAGTCAGGGACAGTCAGTTACGAGCGAGCCGTCGACAGGCCTGGAACACCGCGCCGCATCGCGTCCCGAGGCCTCGCACAATCCATTACGACAACCGCGCTGAGCTCTAATCGTTCCGGCCACGTGCTCCCTTCCGACAGTCGATCCTCGCGTGCGTTGATGACGTTGCGACAGGTATCGATCGCTTTCGCACACTCGGCGACTCCGACCAATCCGCACGGTTTTTGTCGCGAGCTGGATGACTAACGTTCATCGTCAGAGAACGCGCAATTAATCGTAATTTGTCCACGGACGATCGAGGCTCCGTTACCTCGCGAGCGTAACGTACTCGCGGCCGCGGTGAGCACACATATTCTAAAATCGACGAATAATTCATCGCGTAACGTAGTGTGGTTTCGTTTTTGATGTCGATAATAATCTGTCATATCCTGTTGTAATGTCCGTCGCGGTAATACTTACAAGGTACGTTTATGTGTTATGCGCATTTCGCGTGTACGCGCCAGCAACGACAGACGTTTTCATGCGTGAATTATCCATCGCTGTTACCATCGTTGCAACACGCTAACGTCTCTAGGCTCTATTTATCACGCGAGCCTTTTTTCCGTTTACCTCCACCGATGATTCCGGGTATCCGTCGTCCCCATCACACAGTACGGCGAAAGCTGTTTGCGTAGTAATTCCTACAGCGGACGCTTATGAAATATTAACGTCACGGCGTCACCTGCGTTATGCAGCGGCGCTCGCGGATCGGTTACAAGAAAATTATCGCGCGATTATCATGATTAATGACCGCCGCTCGACTGTGAACGTTTCGTATTTTTACACCAAGCTCCGATAAGATTCGTTTCCATCCATCATAGCCACTTCGAATCCTAAAGAGATCTCGAAGGAGGGATACGCGCTCCCGTATACTCGAAAATTATAGCGCTCGGTATCGTTTGCAATTTCAGGGAGCCAATGAGTCCGCGCTGTCCCTCGAGAGATTCTCGGGAATCATCCGGTCCGGCGACCGGAAGTCCCCCGCCACCTGCTACCAGGAGCAGCGCGAGCCCGGTCAGTCCAAGTAGTATCGTGCCTCTACCCCTTGGAACTCACTCCCTGCTACCACCCCACTCTGCAGCGGTCATGGCGGCGTATCTGCAACAAACCCATCAGCGCCTCCTCCTCGGCCACTCGCCCTTATCGCGTGGCTCGGTATCGCCGTTGGTCTCCTCCTCGTGTTCACCACCAGCCGCCACCCCCGGCCTCCTGGTGTCGCCTACCAGCGTCGGGGAGATCTCACCGTCGGCGACACCCCTGCCGGCTGTGCTGGACTTTAGCACGAGGAAAACGTCCTCGACCGAGGAGGACGAGGAAGAGCAAATATTAAATCTCAGCAAACCACCTACGCCGTCTTCCTCGACGGAGACGAACAATGGTCCGTTGGATCTTTCGGTACCCAGCAGGAAACGACCCGGCCCGGAAGACTCGCCGCCACCGCCACCGCGCAAGTCATCGAGACTGGCCTCCACGACAAGTTCCTCGAGCCATCAGGAAACAGCACCGGGAGTCACGTCATCCGGTTTCGGTAGACCGCCCGTCGTGTCTCCCTGGACGTCTCCGGTGGTGGCCTCGCACTTTCCGTACTTCGCCGCAGCGGTAGCGGCAGCAGCTACTAGTCAGCAGCAGCTTTCGCCGAAGAGTACCAGCGGGGTGGTGGATCATCATCAGCTCTGGAACGGGAAGATGAAGCCGCCAGCCGCGTTAGAAAAGCCCTATCAACCCAGCGAAGCTACAAAGGCACTCGAGAAAATGAGCGAGCTGAGTAAGCTGGGCGGCGAGGATCTTTTCAGGTCGTCTTCCGGAAGCGGTGCCGCGACGGGTACCAACGCGCCGGCGACGACGTCCAGCAGTCGTCATAGCGCTTGGCAGTCCCACTGGTTGAATAAAGGTGCCGATCAAGCGAAGGATGTTCTGAAATGCGTGTGGTGCAAACAGAGCTTCCCGACTTTGGCTGCAATGACGACGCACATGAAGGAGGCGAAGCATTGCGGCGTGAACATGCCGGTCCCACCACCAGCGCCAGGAATGCACTCACAACAGACGACGATGCCGACCATACCACCGCCTCAACAGCCGCATCAACCACAGACATCCACCGGCAATACCGGCAGTAACAATTCGGCCACACCTAGCAACAAACAAAGTCCATCCGATTTGAATTTACTGATCAAGGAAACGATGCCGCTGCCGCGAAAGCTCGTGCGAGGTCAGGATGTCTGGTTGGGCAAGGGTGCCGAACAAACGCGGCAGATTCTGAAGTGCATGTGGTGCGGACAGAGCTTCCGCTCGCTAGCCGAGATGACTTCGCATATGCAACAAACGCAACATTACACAAACATCATCTCTCAAGAACAGATAATATCCTGGAAATCATCGGACGAAAGCAAGGGCGGTAGTGCTACCGGTGCTGCCGGAGGTGGCGGAAGTGTCGCCGGGGGAGGAGGCGGCGCAGGAGGACCGCCAGGAGGAGGGTCCGGACCTCACAGCGGAAACAACGGTGGTCCCGGTCCCGGCGCCACGAGCAGTCACGTTAGCGCCGTGCTGACCTGCAAGGTTTGCGATCAAGCGTTTAGCTCCCTGAAGGAGTTGAGCAATCATATGGTAAAAAATTCGCATTACAAGGAACATATAATGCGCTCGATCACTGAAAGCGGCGGACGTCGACGGCAGACGCGCGAGAAGCGGAAAAAGTCACTGCCCGTGAGAAAATTGCTGGAGCTGGAACGTGCGCAGAACGAATTCAAGAACGGTGACGCTGCCGTCGGTCTAACACACAGCCTCGGCAAACACGCCGGTAGAATCACGTGCGAGAAGTGCGGCGACAAGATCGAGACTCCGCTTTTTGTGGAGCACATACGTCAATGTATCGGGGCGGGCACGGTCGGCGCCAATCAGCGAAACTTCCTGAAGAACGCGCTCATGTCCAATCATTTGCCCGCGACGTTACCGCCGGCCGAAAGCGGACGTAAGAGCGTCAACGAGGAAACGTCTTCGATATCGTCGAGACACCACCGATCTCCATCTTCGGCCAGCGACGCGACGACACCGGGAAAAGATACTCCTACACCGACCGCTAACGAGACTACCGCTCCGCTAGGTACCTCGCCGTCAGTTTTGAACGCAATAGAGAAGCTCATCGAGAAGAGTTTCGATTCTCGCGTGAGGCACGGCACGCCCGGCTTGCATCACACTCAGCCCGGCGCGCCGATAGGTACGAGCATACTCAAGCGTTTGGGCATCGACGAGAGCGTGGATTACACGAAACCTCTGGTGGATCCGCAAACGATGAATCTACTTCGATCTTATCAACAGCAGCATCAGCAGCAACATTATAACGCCAACGCCGCGGCGAGAAGGGAACGAAGCGGCAGCGAGTCCAGTTCGATATCAGAGCGAGGAAGCGGCAGGACGGATACCATGACACCGGAGAGACGCATGGACCTGTCTAATGCGAGTCACGAAAGACACTCGAGTTCCCTGTCTCATCATCATCGCGTCACTCCCGAGAAGCAGGCCACCCCGTTACCTAGTCGCCGTCATCAAACCACGGAGGAGTCCGGGGACGAGGAGTCGTCTACCGTGGTGGTGAAGAAAGAACCGAGGGACGAGGAGACAGAGGAGCGAGGCGCGACCGAGGAAGAGCAACAGCAGTCGCAGTCGACGAGGGAGGTGTTCGTGAAGAAGGAAATAGTAGACGACTGCAGAGACGAGGAGGATCAGAGTTCCTACAATCACCGACGAAGCAGCATCCATGAGACGCCGGAGGACGGTCGAGAAGTTCTGTCGCCTCGCATGAATCCACCTACGCCCCGGCCGACCAGCCAGGTGGAACAGGTCGCGCGTAGCCCTTGTAGGAACAGCACGAGCAGTCCTACCAGCAGCGACCGATCGGTCACACCGCGGGGTACGCCTGACACTAAGGCATCTAGCAGTCTCGGAGCGCTCTCTTCCATGTTCGACAGCTTGTCCGGCGGTGGCGGTGGTGGCGGCGGTAACAACATCGACTCGCAAGGACGTAAAACAAGTAGCCATCCTCTCGCGGCCTTGCAGAAATTATGCGATAAAACGGAAACGCGAGGTCCCGGTGCTAGCGGAGCTTCGAGATCCGGGGGTGGTTCCGGAGCCAGCACCATCGGTTCGGGCAGCGGTAGCACAGTAGGGGTGACCGGTCCGGGTCCCGGGCCGACGCCAGGTGCTATCTTGGCTTTCAGCTGGGCCTGTAATGATGCCGTGGTCACCGCGGATTCAATAATGAAGTGTGCATTCTGCGATACACCCTTCATTTCGAAAGGTGCATACAGGCACCACCTGTCCAAGATGCACTTTGTCAAGGACGGCGTCATCCCCGATCCATTGACCATCGGTAGGTCGGCGGCAGCAGCCGCGGCCGCAGCCGCCGCGGCGGTTTCCCAGGGCACTTCCGGCGGGCCGAGTCGCAACTCCTCGTCGCCGCCGACGTCGCAGCGCAACAAGTCGCCGCCGCTTCCGCAGGCGAACGGCAGCCCGTCGCAGTCAGCGGCCTCACCCCTCGAGGAGAGCCCGCACTCCAAATTTCTCAAGTATACGGAGCTGGCAAAGCAATTGTCCAGCAAATACGTATAGTCCGAGCCCCGTAAGTAGCGGTGCCATTTGTACATAAGTGTATCTATACTGTAACGACTGTAAAACTAGCGATGTGAAAATTTTCATCCCCTACCCCGCGAACACCGCCGCGCCGAACGACGTCGTCGCGCATCCGACGTCTTCGGGTTTATGCTTAAAGAGGCTGTGTCGTGGCTATATCGATAATAGGAGCTTTTATAATTGCAAAATTATTTCACATTATCATCTATGCATTTGGGACAAATCCCGTTGCGTGTAAGATGAGATTAATCAAATTGTAATATTCGTAGTTTTTTATCATTAATTTTCTTCTGATCACATACGATATATTTTTACGGATCAAAGATCCGTATGAAATGAATGTAAATTTGAGTTTAAATTTCGGTGCCATAAGAACGAAAGATGATTTTTATGTTTAAAAGAATAGAGAAAAAATCTTTTTTCGCACGTTTATAGCACTGAAAATTGAACTTATCAATTTTACCTTTTAATCATTACAGATTTCTGTATGAACCCCTTTTGTATTTTCTATTTGCTCAATAAAAAATACAAAATATAGATAATATTATACGTTGACAATTATAATTTATTGCTAGAGAGGGCTACAAGAATTAACTAGTGATATAAAAAAAATCAATTGGTGATTAGAGTCATGTCATATATTACCGTTGGCAAAGAATTATCTTTTATTTTGTATAAAATTATATATTATATAAAATATGATATGATTCATTATAGATGTAATTATTTTATTAAAAATATAAATTTTTATTTATGCGAACGTACACACTATTTGAATAAAATTTATAATTAAAACACAAAATTTCTTACATTTACAATGTTAGTAAATAAAGTTGATTAAATTTTCTTTTTGCAACAGAATCCTTTCTTCAATTTGACTTTTTGACACAATCTTGGCATTCTTTTAATTAATTTTTATATATATTCTTTTCCAGTGTTATATCCCCCCTCCTCTCTCAGGCCTCTTGTACAATTTTCCAAAGATCTTTAAAAATCAAATATTTCTTACGTATAGCTCTATGCATAAGAGCTCGATTAGATTTAAATATGACAACTGAGATGACCTATTAATATTTTGCAAAATTCCTTCGCATTCTTTTTATTTCAAGTACATCTTGCAAAGCTTGGAAGTTTTAGATTATTATCCATCTGTATTATGAATTCCTTACTAATTAATTCCTGCTGAATGAATGGTATAATTTTCGAGAACTTCTTTGTACTGCATTTTCTTGAAAATATCAGTGATTTGATACGTACCGTAATCTCTTCATAGAAAAACACGGAGGAATCTATAGCCGAGGTTAAATTGTCAAACTTAAGGTTGCTTGTCATTTTGCAAAAAATCAATTTAATAAACTTTATTTCTTAACATTAAACATATATATAATTTTATTTTTGTTTTAATTTTAAAGCCTCGCCACTGCACTCTTTCAGCCTAAATGTGGATATCTCCGTCGAAAAGACTTCGCCGTTGCGATGATATTATTATAGTAAAAGATTTCGTTCACTCGCGCAGAATAAATGCAGACGCAACACGACTTCTTTTCCGTTTTTTTTTTTGGCGATTGTTTTAGTCTATCATCGAGGATGCATCTTATCATTCCTGGGTTGGTGGCACGATTAGCGTGCATCAGACCCTTCAAAAATTCTACATTGAAGAGGGGCCTCAAATTCCGTCTTTATATACACCTCTCTCATTATTTCTTTTATACTGATCCCTCTCTTCTTTTCCCATTTACTGTATTTTTAGTCGTTACGAGAAGATTATGCTCTAGAGTAGACCTGCGCGCGTAATCGTTCGGAATGTTTCCTTCTCGCTATGGAATCACGTGCAACATGGGAAACGTCGCGAGAGAATTCGTTTTTTTTTTGCTTTCTACAGAATTTTTCCTCGATCGCAATCGCTATAGAAATATGAGTCCAAAGTAGGACGCGCATAACTTTGTACAATCGACATTTCCGTGTTGTTTAAGACTTTCTCGCAGCACGTTTCGCCTTCCGTTTTTTCGTATCACTTTCCTTCCATCGGTATGAGAATTAAGGAATTGTATACCAGCTACTCTTAGTTTCTTTCGTGCCCAAGGAACGTGAGAGGGTGTAACGAAGATGTGGGTGTTGAACGAGCGTTAATTAAATTGTGATGCCACCATATCTCGCGGCACTGCTGAGTCACGGGGCTCGGCACGCGGCCAAGTTTGTGATTTTATAAATACTTAAGGACGTTTACGACGTGAGATGAGCAAGATCGCGACGAGACAAAGGAAACGGCAAAAATTGATTAGAGCAAAAGAGAAATGGCTAGAGAAAGAGATAGAGAAAGAGAAAGAAAAAAAGAGAACGAGAAAAAGAGAAAGCTTACCTATCATCTGTCGTAAGATCGTCAGCATGTATACCTCTAGATCGTAAGGCCGTAGTTTATTAGCGCATAGGATAGGCTAGGGTTCGACCCTGTATAGGAATCTCTTTGTTGATACTTATTACTACGAAAAAAAACCGGTGAGTTTGCTCGCGGGGACGGACGAGAGCCGCCTCGGAGAGCGTTACGACTGCTACGAATCGAAGGTGTGGAGACACACGAGCGAGTGTAGAAGTGACAAGAGCCGAGAGGTGCGGAGACGCGGTGCAATAGCGAGGCTCGCGATTAATTGAATAAGTACACGCGAGTCGAATGTGTATGCATGAAACAGTGGAGAGCGAGAGAGAGAACGAGCGAGTGTGAGAGAGAAAGAGTGAGCGAATAAGAGAGAGAAAGAGAGAAAGAAAAAATGCGTGAGAGAAAGAATGTTTGTCGAAGAACGCATATTTTCTCGACGTAAATGCGTACGTGTAGATCATTGTAAATTTTCTTTGTTCAAATAATATTTATTGCGCCGTGAGCGAGCCAACGCGTCATTCTACGTGTAAAATATTGTCATTATTATCACTCGAATTATCGCGACTACTGTGTATATTGATTATATAATTACGATTATTATATTACGATGATGCGTGGCGTGGTGAGTGTAGTGATAATAGCAGAGTATAGGGCGCGAGTGGATCAGACGGGAATATACGAATGTTGTGTGATGATGAGAGTAAGAGAGAACGAGAGAATGCGCGTGTGTGAGTGTGTCTGTGTTTGTGTGTGTGTTTGTATGTGTTTGTGAGAAGGGTGAAGGATAGAAAGATAGAGTGACAGTCTGAGTATGAGAAAGAATGCTTCCGAGAGATTGAGAGACTAGAAGCAGACCGGAAAAGATGGAGCAGCTGCGTGCGGCCCTCAACAACGAAGGCCGGAAAAGAACGGAACATAAACTTGTATACGTATTTCTTGTAAACTCTAATTCTTCCATCGCGGACTTTAAAAGTATTTATCGACATAATAATAATATTAATATTATTATATTGTAATTATATACGACTGCTGAGAGTGTGATGAACGTAATGCGAGACGATTACGTGGCTGCGACCAACACACGACATAATACATGTACCCCTATATACACACACATGTACACGACACGCGCGCACGCAATACGTACACACGTGAAAAACACGCGTAACACTGTCGCAGTAACACTCGAGGAAAGGGACAGCCAGCCGTGCGAATGATACGCTCGAAACGTACCTACCTACTTACAAACACGCAACCACAAAGATATGCATCATGTATACGCGACTCTTGAAACCATTTTACCAGATTTGTCATTATTTAATTATTTCGGTTGTATTTTAAAATGCAATTAAAGCTCAAATAAATATATATGTTATAAACTAAGAATGCGTGCTTGTGTTTCGTGTATTTATTTCCCACCTATCGTCCGAACAAAAATCGATAATCTTTTAAGAACTCTCGACGACAAGTATTTACCACGAACGATATCTTTTCGGAAATGTTTTATGGAGATGAGGTATTATTAATTTTTCTACAAAAACACTACGAATCTAAATTTTTATTTCATTATATGGTCATTAATTTAAATCCATGCAACGCTTTCTCATGGAAATCAAGTCACAGATAGTAGACTCTCCAGTTGAGAAATCGAGGAAACAACTATCGAGAGGCGTCCCGAGCGACTTGCAACCAACCGTTCGACGACTGAAGGTTTTACATATTTCAAGAAACTGGCGCCGTCGCGAGTCTCGATTAATTCTTATTAATCTGAGCGACGACGTACGGCGTATGTATGTACACCAGGTAAGTATTGGTTCGAAATAATTTGTCACTATGGCGTGTCTTTAAGTAAACGGCTGACGGTTTAGTCGTTAAATATCTAACTAATAATGCGGATTCGCGCTATCGACGCGCGATCATTAAGCGTGAAACTACTCTTCGCTTTCTTTCGATAGATGCATTAATTAGAAATACCAGTGTCTGTCTGCGTTCACTCTGTAGCTTATCTTCTCGCCTTCTCGACGAGATGGCACTCAAATTTACGTCTGTGAACGTCAGAGAGTGAGAGAATGAAAGAGAGAGAAGGAGAAAGAGGGAAGAGACGGAGTCCTTAATATAGCGAGCAAGTCCGAAGTCCGCGTGCATGCTCGCTAATTCGGTGCCATACAATACCGCATCGAATGTATCCGCATCAGTATCAAACTCACCCCCGCGTATGTTAGCCGCAAAGAATAGACATGGTCGGCGGATAAACTAGATAAACCGGTGACTCTGTATACCATATTACGAGCGCACGATTTCGCTTATCAGCCGGGAGACGTTCCGCGAGATATCATCTCCCTCAAGGCCGCCGCTCGCCTTCGGACCCTTCGTTGAATCCAACGAATTCCCCGATCATCCCACTCACCCGCTCCTCGGTCCCTCCCCCCGCCTCGACCTCCTCCTCCTCCTCCTCACCCACACTGACTGGATTCGCGCGTCGTCTTTACCTCTTCCTCTTTTTTTTCACCATTTGCGGTGCATAATGATGACTTCGAGTCGCCGGATGGTGGTCGCCCAGCCAGCAAATCACGGTGAAGGTCGGTCCGCTGAAGGAGCCGAAGGGAGAACGGCGACAGAGGGGGACACATCGCGAGAGAGACAGGGGCAAGTAAGTGGGAGGGAAGGAGTGGGTAGAGGAGCTGCAGAAACCGGTCGGCCACTACTCGTCCTCTTCATAAGAGATACGCCGCATGCCGCAGATACGCGGATACTTTTATTTTAACCGTAATGCGCTAATGAATTGATACAACGCCGAGCGGCTGCCTCTCCGCTCGCTTATTCCGCAAGGGAGGATCGGCGGCTGTGATGCCGTCGCGGGAACGATCTCTCTCTCTCTTTCTTCCCGAGCTACTCTTGATTCGACTAACGAACGATTAATATTGGAATGAAGCGATTCTCTAAGTGTGTAGGACACATTCTCTGAACATTTACTGAATACGCTTAATGCAAATGCCGGCTTGACGTAATTTTTCTGGTAGGTCTTGTGAGATAAATTTTAATTTTAATTATCTAATTTAATGTAGCAAAATATACGTGATGTATAATATTAAAAGGTAATGGTAGAGAAGGAGAGAAGGTAGAGCGACATAAGACAAGAAAAATAAAAATTTGAAATATTAAAATAAAGCTCTGATTTTTTCCCAGAAAAATATAAAATATCGGAATGTGTGATAGTTTTATAATTTACGTTGGACGAACTGAAACACATAAAATCCGAGAGATACACCTGATGGGTGTAACCCATAAGGTTGGACGTTTAATTTTTTACGAGAAACGCTTTATTTTCTTATTTAAC